AAAAACAGCCTAACCATCGCGCACATAGCACGGCGAACCCTATGGAGCTCAGGCAGCGCTGAGTAAAGGCAGCATGTTGTAGCGTTGCCAGGCGCGCACCCCTAAAAAGTCGAGAAAAAAAATTTTGCTGAATTGTGCCTATATTCAATGTCCTGATTACGAACATGACAGTAATTTTTCTTTTACCCTTGGCGCCACACTCTAATGGGGTTCTTTGAGGCCTGATCACGAATGTGGTATTCATTTTCTGACATCAGCGCCATTTAGCCAGCTTCTAAGGCTGAGCTTGGGAGAAGGAAGTGATTGCTTTCAGTGCTGACTCAGATTCTGCGGTGTGCAGATACTAGTATCCTCCATTAGAACCGGCGCTAAAAATGAATGTTATTTTCGTGATCATTATGTCAAGTAACCCCCGTACACAAGTTTTCATCGATCTTGGTGTTCAAGGGTATTTTGGCCTAACGCGTGTGACGGTGAGGGGCGTCAGGCGGTTCGGACTAAGCAGGTATAAGCAGGTATAACACTCATTTCCAGGAGGTCACACTTGCCCCTTGGGCAACTTTTCAGCGAATTCCTGGTGATTTAAAACATTTTGACCCTGGCGCCCCTTCTGCCGTTCGAGTGGCAATGATTTCGCCCTTCTGGTTGGAAGGTCCGCAGTCGAAGAGGTCCGCAGAGATTCGTGTGTTATGATGCACAACCTTCCCAACGCGACGTTTACTGCCTTATGCACGATGGGTTATTCAAGGAAATGTTTGAAGAAGGGTTTGAAGGAACGCGTTCCAAGCGTTGTCACCCATGATCTTGGCCGGTCAGAATGCCGACTACTTTGAGAGCATGAACGCAGCTTGCTTTCGGAGGCATGCCCTTATCATATCAAGTGAGTGCCACCCTCAGTATCAGTTAATAACGATACCGCGGATGTTTTGAAGTATAGAGTGGTTCATTCGAGACTGTTGCGAAGACTTCTCGGTTGTTGTGAGTTTTTTTACACACTGACTGCGACAAGCCCCAGTTCGCTGCGGACGGGAGGGTATGTCAGGCGGGACGAATTGAGCGCTGCGAAAAATCCGTTTGCCACCAGTTGTTGAAGCGAGCATCTAACAAGACAGTGTCATGTTATTAGTATCACTCGTTTTCTACAAACTTTTCTCTGACAGGCTTTACGCAGTGGCATACTCATACTGGACACGCCCCTTCATCCGCAGCGAACTAGACTATACAAATCTCAGACCCCCCCCCTGCAATGGCATGTGTTGACCGCTGTCCGTCCTACTACATCTGCTGGTGCTATCAGATCGATTCGAGAAGTACAAATGATGGAAAATAAA